ATCGAGAGGTCAATGTTCTCGGTGAACGTGAGGAGAAGGACCTTATAAGAGCTGATCAATTAAAATACCCCAGTACATGTGAGCTTTGACAAGTATTAAATGTTAAAAGAGTTTTGGGCCCAAACGCATCCAATGAATACCTGTCCAGGCAGATGAAACAGCTCATATATAGATGGCATGTAGCACTGCATGCGCTCGATTGCAAACACTCATATTGAAGTGAGCCTTGGGCACTTGGAGCTGGATCAGGTTTGGAACCAGAGACTCCCAGCGAGGAACCGGCATAGCTATGGATCACGGGCCCCACACCAGTGAAACGTACAGCTACGATCAAACTGGCTCCAGCTGAGGACAGACTACCACCGATCTGGGATAAAGCACAAGCCATGAATGACACTCTCTGTCCACAAACATGCCTCGCCGACCACAGGCCGACATCTTCCGGATGGCCCACCTCTCCATCTCGCAGGCAGCCTCCACCGGGTTGGCAGGGAGCAGCAAGGGAAATTCTTGAACCAATTGAACTAGGGTGGAGGAAGGGGCATGAATCCTGCATGAAGGTGTCATGGAACAATGAGCCTGAGAATCTGAAAGATCTTTTTCCCGTTGGTTTTGCCACAGCGCCCAGTCCATGGCCATATTTCACATAGAAAACCCAGCCCACTTCCAGGCTAGGATCAGCAATTGGTACGTGATGCGAACAGCAGATCCAAACTGCATGCTTTGCATGCCAAACCCTCAGCACGTACTACCCCCAGCAAAACTCATCGAATGTTTGCCCACTGGCTCAATTGGTGGCTGCATACGCCTAGAGTGCAACCCACGATCACGATATAGCTCAACAATTTTGGGATGGCCACTATCAAAATGTTGAGGGGTGGTGATGAATTTCCATTTTGCCTGAGGCTCCGTTTTGGGGGCGAAGGGATCTATATGTAGTCCTATGTGGGGGTGCCGTGATTAATACCTTCGCCCCCAAAACGGAGCCCCAAACAAACTGGAAAGTTGGCAAGGTGTGGTTGACGATTCTCCAACAACTCTTTGTTATATTCTGAAGTCAAGGCACCGCCTTGCCTCTTTGTTTGGCTTCATTCTCATCAACACCTTCTTCTCGGGCCATCTTCACCGCACGATGGTAGGCCGCCGACTTGCGGCTGTGCTTCTTCTTCTTGTCTTCACGGCTGTCTTCCTTAACATCCCGTGCTCTTCTCCACCTGGCACTGCCTTTCTCTTGCTTTTCTTGCTTCCCTCTGGTTCTTTACCAACCCGCTTGGCTTTGGTTGTTTTAGCTTCGGGTTCAACTCCCTCTTCCTCCTCATTCTTCTTTGGCTTCCTCTTGTTGGAAGAGCTGGGCTTCTCCGCGCTCTTGGCACTCTTGTTGGAAGAGCTTGCCCTCTCCACATTCCCATGCTTGTCCTTGCCTTTTCCAGTTTCGACCATAGAGCTGGAAGTTGCTTCTTCCTTCTTCTTCTGTCGACTGCCCCTCTTGTCCTCACACTGGTCCTCAACAGCCTCCACACTTGAGTCCTCCTCCTCTTCCTCCTCCTCCTTGTCCTCGCGATCCTCGCTGGCACTATCATCCTCTTTCTTGGCAATCTTTCTCCGACTGCCGGCCTTGGCCTTGGGCTGTCCTTTGGCCTTTGGCCTGCCCTTAGCCTTTGCCTTGCCCTTCGCTCTTCCCTTACACTTGGCCTTAGCCTTTGGCTTGGCTTGCCCTTTCTTCTTCTTTGACTTGCCTTCATCATCATCCTGTTCCTCTTCGGGCTGTTCTTCACATTTCCTCACAGACTGAAGTTGCCTAGCCGGGCTAATGGGATCTGGGCGGAGCTTTCTCAAGCAAGCCGGCTTCTCAGGAAGTGGTGGAGGCTTGAAGTCCTGATCCACAGCCTCCATGTGTGTCTCCATCAAAGGCCCCTCAGCCTTCTCGACCAGAGGCTTCTCGGGCACACTCTCCGCCAAAGCCATTGCTGTGGCCTCCTTGGGCTCCGCTTCTTCAAAGCACAGCTTCTTGCATGTAGCAGCATTTGGAGAAATCAGTGGCTGGGTCTCGTCCGTGTCAAAGCCTTGCCAGTGAACCCAACCAAAAAGCAGGAAGAGTGCACACCCTATACGTTCAGCTTATCTATTGGCTATCTATAGAACCCCAATTATTCAGCCAGACTGGCAAAAATATAGATCCAAGGCAAGCAGCCTGGAGCAGTGGTAGGTGGGACAGTGGAGGCCCCAGCCATAGCCTTAGCAGCCACAGCCTGCGCAGCTTCCATTTGCCGCTTCTGAAGTTGGAGAGCCTTCAGCGCTTGCACCTTCTCCTGCATTTTCTTGAGCATCTCCTGGGCATGAAGAAGATAGAGCTTCCTACCCCTGGTTTTATTTCAAAGGATAAGGATCGAATAACAACAGTGTTTTTTGCAGATAAGTTTCGACCTGCAGCAGTTTCTGAACATAGAGAGGGTTGCAAGGAACTCTGGTCATCCCCTCCATCGACTTGGATTCCCAGTGGCAGGCTTTGCAACACCACTGCCCAAACACGTTCTGCAGGTCATGACACTTGCCAACCTTCATAGGAGTCATAGAAAGCTCACCTTTGACTGGGTATGACTGGTCAGAAACAGACCCTATACTCTTTAAATCTCTTTAAACTAACGATATCCCAGGGGCCAGCACCTTCACAAAACAGTTCAAGATGCAAGCCAATGACTTCTGGGTAGCGCAGATGGCGTGTGCAGAGAAGAAGAAGTACTTCCTTAACAAGCTGGGGATTCAGTAAAAAATACTCTTTGTTGTCAAAACTCAAAAAAGGCTTTAGCTGGGAGCCAAATATCCACATGGGGAAGGTACAGCCTCCTCAAACCCTTTGGTACTGGCGCGCACCACCGCAGGCTCCACTGGCTTTGTCGAAGCTGGCTCCTTCATTGGGAGAGGAGAAGCATCAGGGACTGGGGCCATGGGAGGAGAAGCAGCCTCACTAGGTTCACGAGGTTCATCATGATGACCATCCAACCCTCCAGCATGATCCTCATCGGCATCATGCCCCTTAGGACTTTTATCATGTGACCCCTCCTCAGATTCAGTCTTTGCAGCCGAATCATCACTCTCACTACCCCCACTGGAGCTTTCAGCTCGTCGTGACCTTTGAGGGGCAGCCTCTGGAACAGTCATGCCAGCTGCAAGCATCATTCTGCGTAGCACCAAAGATCTCGGACAATGAGGGCGCCCTGCTGCTCTATTGAAACAAGAGATCAGCCGTTTGAGATTCCATGCAATGAGCGATAGCTGATCTCCTCAGTGTAATGGGGTGCATGCATGGTAGGTGTTTCCAACCCACTGCATTCTTACATCAAAAAATGAAAACAATATTAACTTAAGAATCCTGGGAACGGGTGGATGGAATCTGCATCATTTTGAAGAGGGCCTCCACATGGAAGTACAAGACTTCAACCCCAACTCTGGTTCCCAAGATCCGGAGTATGGGCTCCAACACGCTCTCATTGAAGTCGATCGTTTTGCGAGAGATGTTAGGAAAACCTCCCAGCTCTACCTTGAATGTCTCTTGGGAAATGTATTCGATCTATATATTTTTCCCCTACTGAACTATATAGAGCTTTTCAGGCCATACCAAAGGTGGCAAATAAGAACACAGACCTGAGAGCTACCAAAGGGCAAGCTGAAATTGGAATGCTCTCCTCCGAAGCTCCGCTTCCTTTTCCCATGCTTCTGCCACTGCCGTGCTCATGGCGTGACAGCAGGTCTTGGGGATGGGGTGTATTCGAGCCAGTGTGAGCTCCAATCAAAGCGACCACTCCCATGGGTTTTCAAGGCCTCCCCACAGACCTGTGCTCTTAAGAGCTGGCCTTCGTCACCAGGAAGTCACTGGTTGGAGAAGGACGCCATCACACCTGGAGCAGGCACCCGGGCTCCATTCAGTTACGTCCCAAAGGTCCCACTTCAAGAGGAAAGACGATGAACCTTGCCAGCCCACCTCTACTAGTAGATTTTAAGGTTTGACCAGCTTGACCTGAGTCAGGTCATCCAGTCCGTTTTGCCGCCCAAGGTGTGCGAGCCTTGATGCTGGATGAGCGCCTGCACCTATCTCACCCAAGGGATTGCTGGAACACATGTGCATCCATTAACCTCCATTGAGCCACGTGTTCTCAAAGGTTGGAGATGATAATATATGCATGAGCCATATTGTGCCACATTGTGTCTAGATGGTTCATGATGTTTCTACAGGAGATCATGCACTCCATCCCTTACCATGTTTTCATCCATAAGATGCGTAGATGGCAGCAGATCTCACGAGCAGTGCCTCAAAAAGGCGGTTTGCACGAGATTGCCTGTTTTGGCACGATTGGGAACGTTTCCCCAAAAAACTATACAAATCAAGGAAAAGTGATACAAGAGGCAATTGAGCAAGAATAAGTTATACGATTGAAGGTCCAGGATATAATCATATCGTACCCACGCAAGAAAAGTGGGAACCAGAATTGCTGGAATCGCAGCTGACCATTGGTTAGTCTTGCATGGTTGTTCAGCGTTGTGTTGAGAGGATCTTCTTGCATGGTTCCCGGATGGTCGCCCACCTTCCAAGCGACAAACATGAACATCCTTCAAAGCGACAGAAATGAACATCCTTGGAGAGTACCCTCCCTCCAACAATCATGAATCATGGAAGTGGAACATGACCCCTGGAAAGACGATGTCCACTTCCATGTTTGTTGGAGAGACAGTAGTTCTCTGCACTGGTGTAAGAGCCTCCTCGATTGTTCGCTGCAATGACATGCTACGACTAACATCAGGGCTTTATCGATTGATCGATTGCTTCTGCGCAAATCAAGGATCTGATGTGGTACTGTCCTAGAAAATGTCATTTCTAGTTGGCATTTCAGGCTCTGCCGCTGGGTGAACATTTGGCGAACACGGACACCCCCGTGACCCAGTCATGATCCGGCGACTAGCTGGACACAGCAAGTCAACGGAATACAGCTGGCAGTCCCAGCGGCGGGGCATCAGACAAAGGCTCCCCGGCTGCCAGGAAGATTGGCCAGACGGAAAAGAAACGCATTCACACATGGCAGCAGCGCAGCGCAGGGCTTGCGAGTAAAGAAGTGCAGGGCTGCTCGAGTTTGCCATGGATGTTGCATCTGAGAATGCTTGACTTGTGTGTGTGTGTGTGTGGGGGTTCTCTGACCTGGAACAAAGGAACATGATATTCCCTAGTTTCCGAAACCTATGAATCAATCACACATGATCTGAAGAGAGGGTTCTTTCAGATTCAGTCAGTCCAAAGGTGCCAGGTGGAGGATGTGTAGAGGACTGGTCCTCGTCCGGCTCCTCATATACCATGTCTAAACGCCTACAAAGTAGATCAACGTAGTACCTCTCGATTGTCAATTCTTCTTCCTGATCACCTCACAAGTGCCTTGGGGGGGATCAGCTGCATTTGTTGTCACGGTCAGACCGCAAAGACCCAATGAAAACCCCCAACTATATCCTTTGTTACGTTCGTAGCTTCTTGTTGCTAGTAAGGCCAGGAGCACCCCGTTCGTAGCGTCAGATCGCTCCGTTCGTAGCGATGCCCTTTGATACTAGTAAAGACGGTGAGACCCACGTGTTTTTGGATCAGGAGCTCCATGCCTTCGGACCAAGATGCATCATTTTCGGGCCGAGTTGGGCCAAACATGGCCGAAACAAACCGCATGGGCACCACATGGACCCTGGTGGAAGTGACCTTCCATGACATGGGGGGCCATGGGGCGCTGTAGATGGGTGTAGTGGGCCGCCTCACGGAAAACCTCAGCTGTGGTGAACCGCTCCACTGCGCAACGCAGTGGCCGCCACACGAAAAAACACACGGCCACATGTGAGGCTGAAATCACCGAGTGTCTTCGCCACAGACTGAGGAGTTCGATGGAACTTATTGGATCTTTTGGAAACTTAAGAGAAGGTTCCCATACCGGACGTCGCACCTCCTGTTGGCTGAAGTCCTGCCGCTACATTTTACAGTGGTATCAGTGGACTCCCATCTCCCAGCAAGGTTGGAGTCCCTGACATGTTGCTCTCTTCCCACTCAAACCTCCAATCGGATAGAATAAGAACGGGTATCTACGGTATCTCTCAGTTCCTTCTAGCCAAAGAACCCCCAAACTGAAAAGCTTGGAGAAGGGACAGTGACCACTGGAACACTCTTGCCAGGCCAAGCCAATTCTTTGAGGATCAGTGGATCAAGCACCTTTGGACTGGGGCACCTCTTAGGCCAAAACCTGAGGACAGCGGAGAAGTTCCCCTGGATGGTCGGTGACCAAATAAAGTCCGTGTCTTTCAGTCCAACAAAATCGGTGACCTCCTGGAAAGCGCATGTATGTTGTTTGTTGAAAAAAGGAACATCCAGAAATGAACACGGGGTCGGTGATAGCAATGTATCGAAGTCTTTCGGTGACCTCTTGGGGCCTTCGCCGTCGATCGCCGTCGGTCGCGTTTTCTCCCACTCCGCGGTGTACAGTCGGAAGGCCGCGGGACTCCCGCGGGACTAGACACGCTTGGCGATGGCCGCTCCCACACGGGAGGCCCAGTACACCGCCTCGGATCGTCGTTGGCGCGCCGCGGAGTCGACCTCACCGCCTCATTTACATGCGTTGCATCCACACCACCTGGTCACAGGTAGAAGAGAAGTCATAGGCCTCTGGCTAGAAAAGACATAATGGCTTTTGGCCTTTGAGAAAGACCCTGACTGCTTCGATGACGAACTGACCCCAATCACATATCTCCTTGAACCCTCCCTTTCTTGGGACCAGGGTCTAGAATCTAGAACACCTCTGTTTCCGCAACAACAGCAAGGGTCTTGCTGTGACGTGAGGAGTGGCTCAAATGAATGGTTCTTTGGATAGGATCTCTTGCAGTTTAGAGGAGCCGCCACAAAGGAACCATATATATATATATTTACATAGTCATAGTCTCATCCAGTACCCGTAAGATGAGTCACTATCCACGGTTCTTTGTGGAAAAGCACCCACTATAAATACGTTTGACTCTTCGTGGTGAGTTCCCCATGTCGCCGAAGTATGTCATCCAACCGTTGAATCTCGACATCAACGATCACACCAAATCTCATAAAGAGATATAAAGAGTTAATAAAAATTGAATCCTTTGCAGCATCCAATTTATGTTCAACCTGCATGATCTGCTCATTGTCGGTCAAACTGACACTGAGAGTCACACCGAAAAGTGCAAGCTGTCCATGAGTACTGATGTGCCTCAAGACATCGCGGGAGCAGTTTGTAAGGCACCCCCGGAAGCTGAGTATATGCGAGTCTGCATCATCCACCTTGTTTTGGAGGCTCTGCCATAGGATGGGGGAGAAAGCCAGACTTCACAGCTTCCTAAATCACTCCTAGTCCTAACCACCCGGAATGACGACCTAGTGACTAGTGAGAAATATATATATGGTTTCAACATCCCGATCATTCCTCCTGGGCCCGCCGATTCTGGCCCATGGGCACGTGGACATGTAACAGTTTTGTGTTTCTTCTTTCAGTCGCAGCTCAGGTGAAGTTGCTGTGGCACTACCTCACTTTGCTGCATGCCGCGTGATACCTATATAAAGTCTTTGCAAAGCCACTAGTCCATTCAGGATTCCGTTTCTGAGTTCTCGACTTGATCCTCCGTCGATCCGCTTTGCGGCATCCTATACGCGGAGAACTTTGGGGAAACTGGATGAACTCTGCCCAAAGGTCCCATGAATAAAGTATAGTAGATAGATGTAGATAGAAAAGATTAGAACTGTTGTGAAAAAATGCTGAAGACGTCCCAAACATTGTTTGAATGGATCCAACTCATTCTTTCATTGGAGACCAGCACCAAAGGAGGGGTCACGGATAGACTATCGAATTCTTGAAGGGATTTTACCCATCGAATCCTGAATAAGAACAGTCGAGAGTGCCAATTCTCACAACAAACGCATTTCAATTCACCTCTCGCAGATTCCAGCACCTCCTTGTGAGCAACCTCATCAGCACCTGGGAAGGCGAGGAAGCTTCCGCAGGAATTTCGGTCGCGGCTGGCGATCGCGATGGTCGACTTCGGCCCGGCATGGGAGTGTCTCGGAACAGGAAAAGGTCCCAAATGGGTCATATATGTCTGGGGCCGGAGTCTCATCCATTCACCATTTGTCCTCTGACTTCAGCTGGGGCCAAAACCCTGCGCCTCACGTAGATCGGAGGAAAATCGGTCAGACTTGGGCAAAGGCCAAGTGGTTTTCCCGTTGGTCCAGGTGAAATCACTGCTCAAGAGGCTCCGGCACCCCTGCAGCCAGTCGGGCACTCAAAATCGCCTGCACTGTGCAATCCTCCCAGTCAAGCCTCGCCTTCTCACTCAGTTTCTGGGACCCAGTTCGCCTTTTTGGGCCCACAGTATCTGAAATTGAACATTGCGTGGCGTGTGACCCAGGAAAACTTACTGGTTTACCATAGATAATGCATAGATACCTATGATAACTATATATTATATCCAAAGAGACCTTGTCAAAAAAATGTGCTCCTAGCTAGCTAGCACTTTGATTCAGAATTCTTCCATCACTGCAAAGCATCAACTGATGATGTTGATCATGCTCCTGGCAGCCAAGGCACAAGCACCACGAAGGACCTCCAACAGTGCTGTGTAGGCCTGCCACACACGTCCCCCCAATGTCGCTGCAGCCTTGGGTGTATGTGCCCCATGACGACGGGATTCGCACCCAACGGGTTGGATCCCATCGATAAAATCGGAGTGAATGATTGGGAGACGGCCCCAGTTATCACGACCAGACTTCGCACTACGAGAAAGGGTTGGGAGGTGTCCCGCTGGCAGATTCCCCGCTGGTATAGGAAAGTCGTCTTCCAAGGGACCATGTTCCACTTCTATGTTAGTGAGTCAGAGTGTAGTTCTCATGTTTGACCAACAAAAGCCTCTGGTGGTTCAACCTCTCAAGATCCCAAACGTCGGCTTCCCTGCAGCCTCTGTCGGCTGCGCAAGCCCCGCCCGAAGTTCTGCTTCCAGACGCGCAATCTGATCCTCAGTGAATGGTTCCGTGATGTTCTACATGACATCAATAGCGGTAGCGGTAGACAACAATAAAAAGAAATAAAAAGAACTTCTGAACCCCTACATTCCCATGATCGTGTAGTCCTCATTCCTCATTTTATGACAATGGCCGGCAGTCGTTTGTGAGACCAGGAATGCGAAAAGTCAACCAGTCGGGTTCTGAAGATCAATTCTGAACCTCTATGAGCCGCAGTGAGAGTTTTATCAGCTTTCTTACCCCCGTTTATATAGAGTGATGATTTCTGACCTTCCACTGTGTTTCTCGTCCCAGCAGCATCGGTCGGCATCGGCGATAATTACGTCCAATGTCTGTTCATGTCAGGTTTGCGAGACGTGATTTTGGATCGTTCTGGAGGGTCAACATGAGTCAATGATCACCGACAGAGAGAATTGCGCGGCAAACGCAGCGAAGAATTCGTGGTGAACCACCTCTCCCGAATCATGTTGAATCTTGGTGAAACAAGGTTATCCATCCGGGGAGGTTCTTGAACAAAAAGAGCCATAAAAATTGAGTATAAGAATGTATAAGATGGTACTGTATAAGATGGGTTTAACTTAATGAACCCATGTCCACCGGGCGCACCATCGGGTGGGTTCCACGGACCCGGCTGTTGAAACACCCGCGGTGTCCGGGTGCCCCGGACGCCATAATGCTCCTCCACGAAGGACTCCACGGCTCGCGTGGTGACCTTCGTAGGAGCTCCGATGAGCGAGCTCAGCGAGCTCCGGTCGACCGGTGGCTGCAACGTTGGGCGGAAGACATGTGGGCAACGTTGGTCACTTCAGTCTCACAAAACCAAGGCAATCTCCATGAACCGTCACGTGGCTGCAGAGAAGTATTTACTTAACCCTTTCTCGTGTGGTTTCTGGGTATAGTCTCCTTACGTATGTGTCCTTCCTAAACAAAACGAACATGGACTCAAATTGAGGGTCGCTTTTGGATCAACAGCGAGACTATTCTACCGCCGTTGGGATCAATCAGAGGAGCCATCACAAGTTGTTGTAGTGGCCCAATGGAGCGAGGGTTGCTGCAACCTCATGTAGACTCTTGATCAATAATTATACAAGCATAGACCCCAAACAGCTTCAAAACGATTCGTTTTAGTCGAAAATCGATTTCTTGGTACGCCCTACTTTCACAACAAGAGCAAACTGCTTCATCAATGAATTTTTGTCGGCATTGACATCGCTATTTGTTCGGCCACACTCCTCTACAGTAAGCCGGGCCACAGAGACCAGCCACAGAGTTCAGGGGCGCGGCCAAGACAAGGACAAGAGGAGGACAAGAGCCCAGCAAGCCGTCCATAGCACACGCTCGCCCTGCTCTCTCTCTCTCTCTCTCTCTCTCTTTCTCTCTTTCTTTCTTTCTTTCTTGCTTGCTTGCTTGGTTTCTTTCTTTCTTTTCTTTTATTGTCTTTTCTTTTCTTTCCTTTTCTTTCCTTTTCTTTTCTTTTCTTTGCTTTCCTTTCCTTTCCTTTCCCTTCCATTCCTTTCCTTTTCTTTCTTTCTTTCTGTCTTTCTTTCTCTCTTTCTTTCTGTCTTTCTTTCTGTCTTTCTTTCTTTTGTTCTTTCTCTCTCTCTCTCTCTCGCTCATTCTCTTTAATTGGTTCTTTCTCTGTCTTTCTCTCTGCACAGCGCGCTCTGACCGCGCCTTTCTGGAGCGTGAGCGCGCCGTCCATAGCACACGAGCGCGCGCTCGCCCTGCTGTCTTTCTTTCTTTCTCTCTCTCTCTCTCTCTCTCTCTCTCTCTAGCTTCTCTTTCTCTGTCTTTCTCTCTGCAAACCGCGCTCTGAGCGCGCCTTTCTGGAGCGTATTTCAGGGCGCGCGCCGCCCATAGCACACGAGCGCGCGCGCCCTGCTGTCTTTCTTTCTTTCATTCTTTCCTTCCTTCCTTCCTTCCTTCCTTCCTTTCTTTCTTTCTTTCTTTCTTTCTCTCTCTCTCTCTCTTTCTCTTTACGCTTCTCTTTCTCTGTCTTACTCTCTGCAAAGCGCGCTCTGAGCGCGCCTTTCTGGAGCGTATTTCAGAGCGCGCAGAGCGCGCCGTCCGAAGCACACGAGCACGCGCGCGGGCTCGCCCTGCTGTCTTTCTTTCTTTCTTTCCTTCCGTCCTCTCTTTCTGTCTTTCTTTCTTTCTGTCTCTCTCTCTCTCTTGCTCTTTAAGTATATTTCTCTTTGCAGAGCGCGCTCTAAGCGCGCCTTTTTGGAGCGTGAGCACGCCGTCCATAGCACACGAGCGCACGCGCTCGCCCTGCTGTCTTTCTTTCTTTCTGTCTGTCTGTCTGTCTGTCTTTCTTTCTTTCTTGCTTTCTTTCTTTCTTTCGTTCATCTTTCTCTCTCTCTCTCTCTCTTACTCTTCAAGTTTATCTTTCTGTAGAGCGCGCTCTGAGCGCGCCTTTCTGGAGCGTATGTCAGGGCGTGCGCCACAGAGCCCAGCCACACAGAGCCCAGCCACAGAGTTGACAGAGTTCAGGGGCGCGGCCAAGAGGA